ATCTGACATCAGCTATGATATCCCTCATTCCATGTCCTCTTCTGAATCCAGCTTCCATTTCTGGAAGTTCCCTGTCAATATACTGCTGTAACTGTTTTTGAATTATCTTCAGTAAGATTTTACTTGCGTGTGATATTAATGATATTGTTTGATAATTTCCACATTCCGTGGAATCACTTTTCTTTGAAATGGGTATAAATATGGATCTTTTCCAGTCAATTGGCCAGGTAGTTGTCTTTCAAATCTTCTGGCATAGCTGAGTGAGTGCCTCTAGTGCAGCACCTGTTTGTTGAAACATCTCAACGGGTATCCTGTCAATTCCTGCAGCCTTGTTTTTTGCCACTTCCCTCAGTGTAGCTTTGACTTCTTCCTTCGTAGTGAAGGTTCTTGATTATTAGTTCTTGATCATATGCCACCTCCTGAAATGGAAGAATATTTACCAATTCTTTTTGGTACAGTGACTGTGTATTTCTTCTATCTTCTTTTGATGTTTCCTGCATCATTCAATATATTGCCCATAGAATCTTTCAATATTGCAACTTGAGGCTTAAATTTCCTCTTCAGTTCTTACAGCTTGAGAAATGCTAAATGTGTTCTTCCCTGTTGGCTTTCCAACTACATGTCTTTGCACATTTCATTTTAATAACTGACTTTGTCTTTTCGAGGTGCTGTTTGAAATCTTCTGTTTAGCTCTTTTATCTTGTTATTTCTTCCCTTTGCTTTAGCTACTCTCCATTCAAGGGCAAGTGTCAGAGTCTCTTCTGACATCAATTTTGGTCTTTTCTTCCTTTCCTGTCTTTTTAATGACCTTTTGCTTTCTTTGTAGAAGATGATGTCATCCCACAATTCCTCTGGTTTTCAATCATTGGTGTTCAATGCATCAAATCTATTCTTTAAATATCATTAATATTGCATGCAAGTAAATTCTTACTGAAGATAATTCAAAAATGGTTACAGCAGTATATTGACAGAGATATTCAGGAGGGATTAATCAAGATCATATTTTGGCTCTTGTGGACTTGTTTTAATTGTCTTCAACTTCAACTTGAACTTGCAAATGAGCAAGCTGATGGTCTGTTTCACAATTAGCTCTTCAGCCAAAACAAGGCCAGGAGCTGATTGTGGAACAGAAAGATAATAGATATGTAAAACTGTAAATCAGCCACTCCTTGGAAGGAAGGTTGGGCAATCCTACTTCCGTAGTGATACTGCCTTGGAAAACCAAGGAGGGGTTGCTATGAGTCAGGTTTGACTCGACGGCACATAACAACAACAACAACAACAAAGTCAATAAATAGCAGTATAAGCATGTTATTTAGAAACAGGCAGTAAATACTAGAAGAATACCAGTAAATACAATTTAAGGGTCGAGTTGAGTTGGACTGCCATCAAGTCAGATCCGACACATAGTGACCCCTCCTTGGGTTTCCCAGGTGGTATCTCTATAGATTTCCCAATCTTCCTTCTTAGGAGTGGCTGGTGGGTTTGAACTACCAGCCTTCTAGTTAACAGTCAAATGCTTTAGGCACAACGTCACCAGAGCTCCCAGAAGAAACAACTAAGTGAGCTAAAAGTGGCTTCTTCTGGAGACTGGGAATTTTGAGTAGGAAGGGGTGGAATTTTGTAAATATTGGATCCCTTTGATAACAATTAATTTTTTTTTAAATTTTTTATTGTGATTTGGGTGAAAGTTTACAGAGAAAATTCATTTTTTTTTTTTTTCAAACCTGTTCCCCACTTTTTTTTTCAAATGATTTTGAGTTTTGTTCCACATTGTCCCCCTGTCTATCCAGGATCTCCTACAAAGATCCTCTTCCAAGTGGTTGACAGTAGTAGCCGAGCACCGTCTATTTCTTCTGGTCTCATAGTTGTATAGGCTGCAGATCGGATGGTGTACCAGTCGCTAGGTCTGATTGTTTCCATGAATTTTTGGTTTTCTTCATTCTTCTTGGCCCTGGATGGAAAATTCATTTTCTGTACAGAAGTTCACATACACTTTGTCTCATGACATGGACTGCAACTTCCCACAATGCAACAGCTCTCTTCCCACTTCCTTTCCATAGTTACCTCTTCCCTGTGTCCTTCTCTTCCATGCTCTCTTTTTTTTTTAATTGTGATTTGGGTGAAGATTTACAGAGCAAATTCACTTTCCATACAGCAGTTCATATACACTTTGTCTCATGACATAAACAATTAAATTTTTAAAAAAATGTTTATTTTGTCCTCTGGTATATGATTTTCATAAGACTCTAAAATCACAAAGTGTTAATAGCACTGATACCAGAGCTTATGTGTCAAAGGGAGGTAGTGCTAGTGGCTTTGGGCTTCCACTTTATCAATGTGAAGTACAGGCATAAGTCTACATCAGTATTAGTCTTGGTCACTTTGGAAAATAGCAAGCCATAGCATCGATAGCAGGCATCATCAGATGCAGTGCCTAGAGAGTACAACTGCCCTTGTTTAGTATTGCAACAACAGAACAAAGTACCAATGTAAGCCAGAGTGTGAAAGGAGAAACGTGACAGAGCACTAAAACACTCCTTAAGGATTCCAAATGCTTGGGAGGGTTTGGGCAGAGCCAGAAAAAAAAAAAGCTTATTATTTGACTTTTGTAGAAGCAAAACTGGACACTTCACCTTGCGTCCACTATGATCAAGCAGTGTATATACCACAGTCAGAAAAAAGAATACACTTTGCATCCTGATGTAAACAAAAAACAACAGGGTCACTCTTATTGGTTCTAGTCATCAAAAGAATATAAAACCTTAAGTATTTACCATAAACTTGGACTCTCTAGCAAACACAATTTGTTCCTGAATTTTGCTATACTGGTGTCTAAAAATATTGTGTGATTTATGATAATCATGTAAGAATTTCTTTTTCCATCATGAAGAGACTAATGTAAAGTTGATAACCTTGGTGACAGCATTTTTTCCTTCAAAAATATTTTCATTTGGTGAGCCAGTATTTCTGAGTCCTTGTACTCTTGCATTCTTTAAAACTTTTAATTATCTTTTCTACATGCTTCTGCTTCTAAGCATTCCTTTGATACTATTATTGAAAGTCTCCTTACCAGCCAGACCCCTGTTGGTATCAGTTGGAAAATACATGCATTTTTTTTTACAATTTTATTAAGATACAGTGATAAGCTGCAAGAAAGAATTACTGTGTAATTTTTATACTACTTACTCAGTATTATGTCTAAGGCCAAAATCAGACAAGTCTTCATTTCCAGAAGTATATTTGCCGTAACATTCACTCATTAAAGACTGAAAAGATGGATAGACCTTGCAAGTGTTGTTGCGGACTTTTAGTTGACGGACTCTTGGGACTCCTAGAAGTATGTTCTCATAGTAGATGCGACTGCTGTTCTTTAAATTATACAGCTGTTGGTTATTATACCATGAGTCCCAATATAGACCTTCCAAAAGGGGTCCTTCCATAAACTCAATATAGAAAGATAAATGCCATGAGAAAGATGTTTTCATGTCAACAGAATAGACACTCATAATGCTATCTACAAGAATTTTAAAATCAGAAATTTGGGGATGAAGATGAAAATTAAATTGCTGATCAAGCTACCATTAATATTAAAGTAATGATGACCTACGATTAGTAAGTCCTCATCTCATACTTGCTCTCTCACTCTCAGAAAATGACCTTGTCTTCTTGATAAATATGAAATTCCTAGCATGGTATTCATGATTGACTTTTGCCTTTTCCATCATATCTTCCATATGGCCATAGTGCCAACCATAGTTCCACATATAGAATTACTTAGTTGTTGTTGTTGTTATGTGCTGTCGAGTCGGCCCCGACTCATAGCAACCCCTCCTTGGGTTTCTGAGGCAGTATCACTACGCAAGTAGGATTGCCCAACCTTCCTTCCGAGGAGCGGCTGGTGGGTTTGAACCATCAGCCTTCTGGTTAGCAGTCAAGTGCTTTAGCCACTATGCTACCAGAGCTCCTAGAGGATTTACAGTTGAAACTGAACTGCACAGGTACACTTCTTCCATGTTGTTGTTGTTGTTGTTATGTGCCATCAGTCGGACCCGACTCATAGCGACCCCTCCTTGGGTTTCTGAGGCAGTATCACTACGGAAGTAGATTGCCCCATCTTCCTTCCAAGGAGTGGCTGGT